CCTGTGTTTATCCTTTGCTAGTAAAGCAATAAATCTTCTTTTTCCTTTTTTTCAAAACTGTGTCCTCATTAATGAATTGGCATCGAGGACAAGGACAGAGCTTTAGGCAACAGACTTGCCATTGCACTTACTCTGAGATGAATTCCTGTCTTTGCTTTCGCTGCTTCAATTTATCATGACTACCCACCAAATCCCAATCCTACCTTCATGACTCAGTTTGGATTTCTGATTTATTTTATTCTGAGGAGGAGGGAACAGGGGATTGAACTCAGTGAGCCACATCCCCAGCCATTTTTATTATTATTTTTTTTTATTTTGAAACAAGATCTCTCTAAATTGTTTAGGGCCTTGCTAAATTGCTGAGGCTGGTCTTGAACTTCTGATCCTCCGGCCTCAGCCTCTTGAATTGTTGGGATGATAGGCTTATACCACTGTGCCCAGCTTGGATTTCTGATTTAATTCAGCTTGACTTCACCTCTCTTATTTTTCTCTAGCTTTTGCTGTTCAAGACATTTCTGGTGGCATTGTCTTGTGTGCCTTTTAGATTTTATGTGTCAGTTTAGGTTTGTATATGCTTAGTTGCTGTTTTTGTTGTCTGAAACATTCCTTTCACACTGAGGTTCATCTTCAAGTCTCAGTTGAAAAATTGCCTCCTTGGAGGGATCTTTCCAGGACATGATGGCTTCAAAAAGTCATTATCTTGTCTTGTTCCTTGTCTTCCTCCTCTACTGAGATGTAAAATCCATGAAAATAGGGAACTGTGCTGATCCTGTTTGCTCTTTCCAGGGATAGGCACATGACTTTTTGTTCTATTTAGGCCCCTGAGGGATTGGGTGATGCCTGTCAACATGGATTAGCCATGGCTTTTTTTACTTGGTCTTTTGATTCAAATGCTAATCTCTTCAGGCTCAGTGGCACTTGCCTATAATCCTAGAAGTCTGGGAAGCTGAGGCAGGAGGATTGTGAGTTTAGTGCCAGCCTCAGCAATTTAGCAAAGCCCTAAGCAATTTAGTGAAATCTCAAAGTAAAAAATAAAAAGGGCTGGGGATATGGCTTAGTGGTTAAGCACTCCTGGGTTCAATCCCTAGTACTAGTACTAATCTCTTTTGGTAACAGCCTCATGGACAAACCTGGAAATAGCGTTTTATTAGTCATTTGGGCATCCCTCAGCATCGTCAAATTGACCCAGAACATTCAACAATCGTAAGAGGATATTAATTAAGAAATATTTAAGTCGGTTAGGCCATTCTGTTTTCTTTAATGGTCCTGTCTCCATGAACAAAACAGTTGGATTGTTTTGAAAATTTGGAATAAAGAAGATTAGGATATATTTTTTTTTATAGCAGTTTTGTGAATTTTGTTGTTGTGAATTATCTCAATGTTTACTTTATGTTGAGAAGTAAACTTGGGATCAACTATGGAATTTAAAGCCATGTCATAAATTTAATGAAACTAAATCCTGGTATGTGACTTTTTTATTTGGGTGAACATAAAGGGTTGTTCTTGAAATCTTGGTCCTTGTGCTTGATGCCAATCCAATAACAAGGTTACAGTTTTGAGAAAAAGGAAAAAGAAGTTTATTCCTTTGCTAGCAAAGGAGAAACACAGGGGATTCCATCCCAGAGTCTGATTTTGCTCATCAGGAGGAACAGGGGAATTTTAAAGAGGTGATGCAAAGGATACCTTCCGTGTGTTCTCTGTTCTGAGTTGTAATTCACTTGTTAATTTAGCAGATAATCATTTTTGAGATCTAGTACCATCTCCAAAGTCTGGGTTACTTTGTTCCAATGGTGGGTGTGTGCTTAAGAACCTATAACTCTGCCCAGATTGGGGAGAAAGGTAATCTATTTCTCTGAGATTAGGGAGGGGAAGAGATTAAGGAGGAGGAGAAAGAAGAAGAGAAAGAAACATGTGCCTTTTAAAATAAGTCACAACTTGCATGGTGGCACATGCCTGTAATCCCAGCAACTCGGGAGGCTGACAAGGGAGGATTTTAAGTTCGAGACCAGCCTTAGTAACTTAGTGAGGCCCTAAGCAACTTAGCAGGAGCTGGTCTCAAACATTTAAAAATGGACTGGGAATGTGGCTAAATGGTTAAGTGCCCCTGAGTTCATTCCCTAATACCTAAATAAATAAATTGCAGTAGCAAAGAAGCAAGGGCTATATTCAAAGCAAAAAGTGGACCACTGTTACATTTTCTTGTTGTTCGTTATTCTACTTCTTTTTTTTTTTTTTAACTATTTTTTAGTTATAGATAGACTCATCTTTATTTTGTTCATTTATTTTTATGTGGTGCTGAGAATTGAAACTAGTGCCTCACATGTTCGAGGCAAATGCTCTGTCACTGAGCCACAACCCCAGCCCTGCACTGTATTTTTAATCAGAGAAAAATATCCTGTATATAAAGCATGAAGGAAGAAAGATATTTTTTTCCAAAACTGTCAGTACCTGACAATGTATTTGAAAAATTGAATAGCAAAGTGTTCCTGAAGCTGCTGAGTCACTAGTTTTGCAGACATAAATATAGAAATGCTGTTATCTTCTTAGCCCTAGACAGCTAAAACTTCTATAAAAACCCTCTAGTGACATCTATCAGAGTTTGGCTACTTGAGAAACACTGGAAATCCATTTAGCAATAGTTCTTACTACTCAGGATTACCTCAACCAAAGGTCACAGGCTCAGACTTTCTCATTGTCGTCAGTACATTTAAATTCCAAGAGCATAAATATCTTTTAAAGTGCCTGCAAGTCAGCCCCGGAGCTGAGTAATTGGGCTTGCGCCCACTCTGACCAAAGTACTAAAACCAGACATGCACTTTTCCCAAATTTAGAGGGATCTTGGAGAGCAGAAAATAACTTGTTAAATTATTGCCACAAGTAGATAAAAATGAATGAGAAAAACCTGGCTTTGTAAAAAATTCTTGAATCCAATTTGTCGGTAGCCAAACATTTCTACTGTATATTAAACTGTATTTATTTTGACAGGCTGAATGTTTCCATTTGTACCATATAAAATTGTAATGTGGCATAGAACCTGAAGTTATCCTGATTTAATTTTTACTTCTACCTCACTTGCAAATAAAAAAGGAACATTTTAAAAGTGTGATGGTATGAGTCAATAGGCAGTGGAGAAAACTGGATATCGTGGGTATGACAGTGAACTGATTAGACTTGTAGGAAGGTGTATCTGTTGGTGAAGCCTAAGATGATCTTGAGAACAGAAAAGAGATGCAGGAATAAAGATCATATGTTAGTATCTGTAATAAAGAGGGAGGCAACAATTAAAGTTAATATTTTGACAGTAAAATGGAAAGAAAAGAAAAATGCAGATATAAAAAAAAATTTGAAGATAAAATCAGAAGGTGAACAAGTGATTCAAGGTGAGGAGGAGGAAGGGGCAAGATAGTGACCATTTTTGATCCAGAAAGAAATTAGTGGAAGGTGCCTAACCTGGGAACCACTAAAGTCTAACAGATATTTATTTGACTTGGGACAAAGCTGAAAAGATGATTGAATAAAACTTGCTATAAGAGTGTCTGACATACTGGAAAAATATGGGCTTTGGATTTTTTGTACTTCTGTGAGATGAGAATTCTAAACAAGATCTAAATAGTGATGTTTACTGTCATAAATACAGTGGTTAGTGATATAGTGAGTATAGTGATAAGACAGAGTACCTTGCCCATCAGAGTTCTGTATAAGGAGTAAAATCATATCATCAGTGATTTCTCTGTTCCATTTTTTTAAACTTATTTTTAAAAATTGTGGAGGGAAAGAAGGCTTAATAAAATAGCAACAATCATCTAATATATCTAAAAAGAAAATTATCATTTTCAGTTTTTAGGTTAAAATGTTGGTGCAGATGTACAGGTAACTACAGGTAGATATTTTGCTCTTAGAACATAGTTCCTATTGCTCATGAACACGCTCTCAAGAGCTATGCTTTCATCAGGATATCTGACTCTATTAATAGTACATGTATTTAATTAAGGTCCATTTCTTCCTTACCTCTGGTTTGTTTTTGCCTTTCCACAAATTTTACCTATGTGGAAAGGAGCATAAAAATAAAATTTTTCTCTTCAGTAATGATGCAGAAAATTGCACTAAGTGGAGTGCTCCCTGGGTGTCAGATTCAGGATGTCCTTGACCTCATATCAGAGACAATGCTTTCAACAACCATCCTTTGAGCTCATGGAGCTCCTAATGTGTTGTGGACCTCAGGTAGAAAGAGGGTTTATAACATGAAAAAGACTTCACTTTCAACCTCATGGAATAATACATTTTTTTTTCTTGTATACCCAAGTATAACACAGGACCAGTGCTATGATGAGTGTTTTTATTCAAGTGGAGTAATTAATTCTACTAGAATGGATTTCTATGGAATTTAAACAATGTGCTTTTCTTCATATTCACGTTATCAAGTATTTTAGTTTACATTGCAAATTTGGAATTCAACCTGACTTAATTTTTCCTAACTATAAATCTCAACATTTGCATTATATTCTTTGGAATGCTTTTAACCTTAAACTTACAAAGGAATATAATCATCAACTCAGGTGTTCAGAGTTTGGGGGAAGAAATATTTGAATAGATGTGGTTTTTAAAGTGGTCCTACATCGTTCATTTTTTTAAAAAATGTATCCATTTTTATGTTTAGGGTTTGTTATAAGCTTGGCCTTTTTAAAGAATGCAAAAAATGTGCAAGGTTATTTACTGTGTTTTCAATTTTGTTCTTACTTGTGTGGAAGAAAGAGAAGTAGTGTGTTCTTAAGGGCAAAAAGCAATTCTACACGCAGAGAAACGCAAAGTCTATATAGTTTAGGACAAGTTAATTTATCTACCCTTTAAGCATGCTTTCTGACTGCAAACATCTGATTCTGATAACTGAATATTTACCTTCCAAATATCAGCCTTTATGAGCAGTGTTCTCTCCCTCTCTTGTTCTTTAATTCCACCTTAAAACATGTGCAGAACCCCAAGGAGACCAGCCCACTGTTTGGCCCCGCCTACCAGGGATAAGACTTTCCTGAAGTTCGGGCTGAACTGGGATCCGGACCGAAAATAGAGGCACAGAAAAGCCTGAAGATTCTCATGTAACTCTGGGAACTGTAAGCAATACCTTTACTCTTGCCCTGCCCCACTTCTCTCTCCCACTCTCCTTGGCTGTTAGTCTGTAGTCACTAGGAAGGAAGAACAGGACAGAGGGGAACCTCACTGCTCTCAAAGGCTGCGTGCCTTTTGCTTTTGAAACGATGCACGGATCAGAAACTTCACTTTCCTTCTCACCGGGGCAAGTTTGCTTTCCTGGGTGTAAATGCACTGCGGGAGTCGAGCGATCAGTGGTTTCCTTCGGTTGGAGCCCGGAAATTTAGCATTTAAGGCAGCAGCGAGGTGGTGTGCGTTTATGGTACACGTGATGCCACTCCGCGGTCCCCGCACTCTAGCCTTGCTCTTTGACAGCCCTGAGGATCCTTAGCAACCGCCTTCATGGACTCATTTAAATTTTATTTGAAAAAAAAAAAGTGGTTTTGGATACTTATGCAAAGCATTCCTGGGTATTTGATGTGTTTCAGTGTTACGCCAAAGACAGACAATACTGAAAAATTAAATGTAAACCCACCGGTGTGCTGATTGAATTTTCCCTTGAGTTATTTGACACAGCAGGAAAACAGCTCAAGACTAGATACTTGAAAAGATGGGATCAAGTCCCACAGTTAAATGTTGAGTGTGAAATACTGTTTTAGCAATTTTGTTTCAAGGAAAGAGGAAAAAAGACACTATCTCCTATAACTTATAATTTTAGTCTTAAAAATAATATTTTTTCATCACAGACACTAGAACAGGAAGTGCTCTTGATACTGTTTGCTGATCTAGGCATTTATTCAGGTAAAGCAGATGGAGAGTATTAGATTGGGCTCAGCTCAAACATAATTGGGGTATAAGAAGGATTTGTATTTTGTTTTGTTTCTGTTTATTGTATAAATTTGAAATCGTGGCCCAAGATGTATTTTTTAGGAAATCTCGTGAAAGAAGCTCAACATGAGTCTTAAAAATTACATCCCAGTGGTCCTAGGCCTCGCCAGTCAACTTGGATGTTGGAATGAGAAATGGCCCTTTGTTTCCCCTGAGTTCAGGAAGAGTTAAATTTTAAATTAAGCAATAGTTGTGAAATGCATAGAGAAGTGTTTAATCTGCATTTGCTCAGAGAAGTTTTACAAACTTCCTGTAGGGCAAGCATATTTGATGGGACAATACCCTGCTTCTTTTTAACACTGTAAGTGACTTTTTAAAGTATTTCACATTTAGTTAAAGAAAAATAAAATTATTAAATAGATTTCTTAGAGTCTGATAAAGTTCATTCCATACAGGCAATTCGACCTGTACTTTTAACCCATCATTGTTTTTCCTAGTGCTGCTACTTAGAAAACAAAGTCAAAAAAATTGAATTATTTAAATATTAACAAGATATGTTCCAGAAATTAAAAAAAAAGAGGAAGACAGAATAGTCCTAGTTCCTTTTCCTCTTGTATTTATAATCATTTTTTTACCTCCTCTTGCTGGCATATTTTGTAGGTTTACTTGTTTTCAAACTTTTTTCTTTCTTTTTGATCACTGACCCTTTTACAAATTTTGTAATAACTCTGGACTCCTCCCCAAATTAATGCATATGTGCCTTTCCAACACACACAAATTTGGAAACGCCTTTATGAAGTTCACAAATCTCAAAAGGCAATTTATATTGCATTGAAATGGAATATTTATTAGAACTTTGAAGTTTTCTGATGACATAAAATAATTATTTAACGAATCATTTTGCTTATAAGCAAGGAACTGTCTAAAGATGGATACCGCAGTGTTGGTATTGTTGCTTCTTCACCGGTATTATGGGATGTCAAGCATCTTGGTGCAACGGGAAGACTACTTGTCTAGAAACCAAGTGACCCAGATTCTAGATTCAACCCTGAGAATAATCAGCCATATAATATCAGACTTGTCATTTTATTGTAACATCTGTTATTTTTTATTGCTTGAATAGTAAATGGAATTAGATACATCGATATCTTCTACTTTTTCCCCAAATTCCTAATGGTATGTCCCAAAGTGATAATGCTTTATAATATTATTGTTTATTACAAAGATAAGTCATGCTTACTGTTTCCATTTTATTAAATATAAAAAATTACATAGAAAAAAAGAAAAAGTTACCTATAATGCTCCATGAGGTCACTACTTTTAAAATGTCACTCATTCATCTATTCAGCCAATAAATATTTATTGAGTACCCAGTGTGCATCAGCAGGGATACAAAGAATTCCTGTATTAACATCTATGCTTCTATACCTTTTTTTCTCTATATATACACTTATGTGTAGATTTACGAAGTTGTGATCACACTGTACATGCTATTTTCTATGATGCTTCTCCCTCATTCATATTTTCTGTTGAACATAATTTTGAGTAATAGTACTTTTTGATTCATTCATATTTTAAATATTATTGAGTTCCTAGTATGTGTCAGGCCCTATGCAATTGATGGCTGTCTATCCATATGAGCTAAAAAGGTTCTCACCATATGCAGTTTTTAGTCTGTGAATATATTTGACTGACCAGTCATAATTTGTTAAACATTTAGGTGGTTAAAATTTTCCAGGATTATAGATAATATTTAATCTAGAACCCTTATATATTTTGTACACTTCTTTGTATACGTCCTTAGGATAGATTCTTCAATTTATTAAAATTTCCAGCTTCTAACAAAAATCCCACTACTTATAAGTATGAGAGCATAAGCCAAATTTCTTTAGTTCATTCCCATGTGGGTTTCTCAAGTGTAAGATAGGAAGTATAATAATTGGGTATTTTGAGGATTCTTAAAATGTTCAGCAAAATGTCAAAAAATGCTAGTTGTAATTTTTGACATTTTTCTTTGAGAAATATTGTATCCATTTGGAAGCTGTATGAGAGAGGAGAGTTACCCTGGGTCCACGCTGGGTGTTACCACCAAACAGAGAAAACAACAAATCTAACAATTTAGATAATTCTTATGTGAAAAGAAGATTTTATTTAAATTTATATTTTGTTTTAAATTTCTAACATAATAAATATCAACAGATATAGCTACCATAATCAAAGGCCCTTTGGGGATTCCTCAAAAATTCTGAAGAACGTCAGGGGCCTTAACAATATAGGTGAAATTTTGACCTAGAGGTAGAAATTTTATGAACACTTTTTTCCTCATTTTTTTTTGAGGATTGTTTTTAGTGTTTCCTGGAATATTTCCCTTAACAATGGTGAGAATGTATAGAAAAGTGAAAGCAAATTGCTTTTCTTTCTCATAGACTTATAGTTTACAGAAATTGGGGAAATTGAAGATGGTTCAGAGAACATGGCCAAAACTTATGGTGCTGGGGACATCCCACCTTGCTTAACATAGAGAAGACAGAGTTAAGGCTAAGCTTTGTATCATTAATAAAAAGTTTTGGGAGAAAAATAATGTCCACGCTTGTCAAAAACCAACTTAGGATGAGTTTAAGGTCTGGCTAACTCTTCATCTTCTACCTTTTGACTATTATAAAGGTAAACAGATGGGGAAACCAAGAGTAACTGTGGAGGTATTTTTCCCCTAGAGAAGACAGTATTGTTCTGGTCTTTGGACACCATTACCTGCCCAAGGTAAAAATGGAATGCACTATATTTTTTGCAGGTCTTGTTATGCAAGTCTCAGTTTTCTTATTCTCTGGGTTTTTAATCCACCCTTATAACATTTTTTGAAACTATAGTTTACCTCCCCCTTTATACCAACATAAACACAAATAATTGAATGCTCCACTATCAGCAGTTTTGTAAAGCTACACACCTACCAGTCTAATTACTCTTTTAATTAATTCAAATGCCTTTAGAGAGACTCAGTGATCTACATCAGAGTTCAGCCAAAACTGGGTCAAAGATGATAGGCCAGATGGCACTCATTTTGCTGGCCATGGCCCCTATAGCTGTGAATCAGTTGCTCCTTCATCCTCAGTCTTCCTTCTCATTTTCTTGACTTTTGGAGTTGGCAGGGAAATTTAGGTATTTTAGGGAACAGCATGTTTTAAGATAGAAAACAAGTGTTCAGAATATGTGTAATTTTGATATTCTTTGTGTGTGTGTGTGTGTGTGTGTGTGTGTGTGTGTGTGTGTGGTGTTAGGGATTGAAACCAAAGGTAGTCTACCACTGAACTTCATCCCCATTCGTTTTTTATTTTTCATTTTGAGACAAAGTTTTGCTAAATTTCCAGCCTGGCCTCGAACTTGTGATCCTCCAGCCTCACCCTCCTGAGTAGCTGGAATTATAGGTGTGTAATATCACACCTGCCTTCAGTTTTCTTCTGTAGTATAGAAAGCTCGTGTATTTGCAAGACTCAGCTTATACTTGCTTAGTTTATCATTTTTGTCATTATTTATTGCCTATTTCCTGATTATCTAGTTTGAAAAAATGTATCAGAAGGCCAATAATACCTTCCATTTACATAGCACTCTATAACTGATAAAAGAACTGCTTATTCATCCCTTCCCACATTCATTCCTACAATAACTAGATAAGTTAGCAGAACATTTGTTACGATGTACATTTTATAGATGTGAAAGGAGAAATGTTAAAAAATCAAGCGCCTTTTTATTTGTCCAAGTCTTAGGATTTTTATTTTGATGTACTTTACATGTTGCAATTGACTAATTGACTGGTTTGTATTCTGAGTTTTATAAATATTATTTTATGTTGTCAGCATCTTCCTATTATGGTTAACATCAAAAAAATTATAAGGAAGGGTGCAGAAAGTACACTGTCTAAAAGCATGTTTCCATAATAACTCCATTGTTCTGCACTTATAACTTGGTTACTGATTGACGAGATAGAGGAAGTTGCAGTACATGATTTGTAATTTTGTTTTTTGAAACTCCATAGTAGTTTTTTACAGGCCTATATTTTAAAGAAAATAAAAAATAAGACATTTTATCAAAACTACATATGTAGCTGAAGTCATAATCTCAGACCTCAAATAGAAAACACCAGGGCATTTCTGTAATTTATGGCATGGTAGTCTACTTTTAATGTAAAATCGTAAAACAT